ATCTTCAAACATATATTTTATTTAAAAATAAAAACATCATCGCAATCTCAAAATCATATAAAGTCATATTATAACATCGACTGAGATAAAAAATAAAATAAAATATTAAAATCACGATGTATCTCGCTGCATTGCGCGAGTACCCTTCTAGTAATATATTAAAATTTCAATCTGATCAACCTGACCAGCCGACCAACCCACACGATTTAAGTTGGATTGAAAATTTTCAAACCGCAAACATTAAGGGGCCGTATACTAGACACTTACTCGGTAAGTACTTATTGTGCAATTTTTCTTTCCGGATAAACATGGCAAGAGACAAGAATCTTACCTGGCAAGTGAAGATGAAGACTCTTATCCAGATAAATGTTTATCAAATAAATTGTTGCATACGATAGTTTTGATGTACTACGATCTTAGTCGATAAAATAAAATATATAATGGTAAATAGTTATGATTCAAGTAACCGTCATAAGTTGACTCGTTGACATAATGGGTAATGCAAACGCATACGCAACACTAATCTGCTTATTCATTTGGTATAAATAGACGGTTAGAGACGTCTCTTCATTTTTATCATCCCCTCTACAACAAGAAGTACAAAAACTGAAGGCGGTGAAGACACCGTAAAATCCTTGCCCCCAAAATCACCATTTTCGCGAAGCGGGAATGAGCGTTTATCGATTGCCGCTCGAAGATGAAGACCAACAACCATCACCATCAATCCAGTCGGAAACCAACATGGTGGGTTTCATTATCGCCAACATTGTCGGATTACAAGACTATTCCGGCCGTCTAAGTGGCCGGGAGATGGTCGGTCTTGTTCGAGAACCCTTGAATGGCTTCGACACTAACGCAATCAGAGTCGTCGATACTCGAGCAATCCAAGTCGGCCATATCGAGAAGAAGGTAGCTAGTGTTCTTGCACCTTTAATCGACTCTAATTTGGTTCATGTTGAAGGGATTGTACCCCTACCCAGTACCCCTATAAATGGTGTTCGGTCTAAGCTCCCATGCCATATTCATATTTTTGCAAAGATCGAAGCCTTCGAAACCGTCAAAYYCTCAYTTTCACWATGTGGGTTGTATTTGATTTCACAAAATGATTCTCTGTTTAGTACTTCTGAATCTATGGTCGTGAAAGAGAAGAAAAAGAGTGATGTAGATGAAGTTTTCAAGTTGGTTGATGAGAATGTAAGTAAAAGTAGGGTTATGGGGACAATGGAACCCCCAAAAGATGTCATTCTACCTGATCTTTTTCTGCACCAAAAAGAGGGTTTGAGTTGGTTGCATCACCGTGAGAATTCCGATGAATTACCTCCGTTTTGGGAACAAAGAGACGATGGTTTCATCAACCTGTTGACGAATTATCAAACCGACAAACGGCCGGAGCCTTTACGCGGTGGGATCTTTGCGGACGATATGGGATTGGGTAAAACTCTCACTTTACTTTCTTTGATTGCTTTGGATAAATGTAAGATTTCGAAYGATGGAACAAGTGAACTAATGGGAATAGAAKATGATCAATCGGTTGTCCAAATTGGTAAGAAATCAAGAACCAGAACTGTTWATTGTAGCAAGAAACAGAAAACAGATGACACCCTTTTGGATGAAMGAAAAAAGAAAGAACGAATAGGCRCGAAAATGACATTAATTGTGTGCCCACCTTCTGTTTTCTCAACTTGGATAACACAATTAACCGATCACACCAAAAGGGGGCGGCTAAAAGCATATATGTACTATGGGGAACGAACTCAAGATGTATCCGAGCTTCAAAACTACGATATAATCTTGACAACTTATAGTACTCTAGCTAGTGAACTTAACAATTCAAATGCTCCAATAAAGAAGATAGAGTGGTGGCGKATAATCTTGGATGAAGCGCATATGATCAAGAACGACAGTGCRAAACAAAGTAAAGCCGTGAGTATGTTGAATGCTAAACGGAGATGGGTTGTTACAGGAACACCCATTCAAAATGGGTCGTTGGATTTGTTTTCTCTCATGGCATTTCTAAGATTTGATCCATTTTCGACCAAAAGTTACTGGTATAGCTTGGTGCAACGCCCAATTGCTCAAGGGAACGACAAGGGGCTCTCAAGGCTTCAGGTAAGAGTCATTTGAATGATTACTTTCTATGTCCATAATTGCATAAAAAATATGGATTCTATTTGAAACATGGGTTYGGTTTTGTTTGACGTTTAGGCGTTAATGGCGACTATTTCTTTGAGACGAACGAAAGAGAAAACTCTGATTGGTTTGCTGCCTCGAAAAACTATCATTACATGTAATGTGGAGCTTTCTGTAGATGAGCGAAAGGTGTATGATCAGATGGMAACCAAAGCCAAGACATTTGTTGCACGATATATTTCTGTAGGAAGTGTAACATACAATTACTCGACCATTCTAAGCATCATTTTACGGCTTCGCCAGATATGCACGCATWTGGAATTATGCCCTTTAGATTTTAGATCATCACTTCCATCCTACAACTTTGAAGGTACTTCCCGTTGTTTCTCTCACTTTTTATCATATTCCAAGTCCTTTGACAAATTGTATTCCTTAGAAGATCATTCGGTGAACCAAACGCCCCTTTTTAGATACCAATTATCTTGGTATCTTGACCTTTCAAGAAACATCATTAGAGCCAAGTGTTCTTGATCATTATTAGAGATAAGTACATCCATCCGAATATAAGGGGGAAGATGTATGCAAACCTACATCTGTCGCATGAGACAGAAGACAGAGAGATTGTTTCCATTGCATAAAAGAAAGGAAACATAAAACACAACATTCATAATCTTTCTTCTTTAAGATCATGCCCTTTGAAAGAAAACTTATTTGCATTTGCACATAATAAGAACCGGTCTTTGAGGGTCTGGACTTTCGAGGGCAATCTGGTGTACGTAGATGTGACCTCTACCCCCAAAGAGTATAGCGACTGTTTCCGTAGGCAAATAGGTTGAAATGTGGTTGGATGAGTTGTAGTTGCAGTTTTTGGTCGTTGAATTTGTTATGTTTTGATCTTTGCAAGTGATTGTGATTGTATTCAAACAGAACTTGCAGATGCATCCAACAACCCGAAACTACTCCAAAAGCTCGTTTTAATGCTACAAGACGGGGAGGATTTCGATTGTCCGATTTGCCTCGCTCCACCTACTCAAATCGTCATTACGTCTTGTGCCCACTTCTTTTGTCGAACCTGCATCATCGGAGCTCTAAACCATTCCATATCTGTCTGCCCACTCTGCCGCTGCCAGTTGTCTGAATCTGACATCTTCTCACCACCACCCGAGTATGCCACCGAGCCCAATCAAGCTGGTTCTTCCTCCTCTTGTCAACCATCTTCCAAAGTGGCTGCTCTTTTAAAACTTCTAGAAGCATCAAGAAACGAAAACCCGTCCATAAAATCCGTCATTTTCTCTCAGTTTCGTAAACTGCTGCTTTTACTCGAAGAACCATTGAAAGCGGCCGGATTCAAGACTCTGCGGTTAGATGGAGCAATGACGGCAAASC